AACAGTGCAGCAATGAACATACAAGTGCAGTTGTCATTTCTACTATACTTTTTTGCCTCTTTGGGATATATTCCCAGGAGTGGTATTGCTGAGTCAAATGGGAGCTCAATTTCTAATTTGTTGATAATCATCCTTACTGTTTCAGGAGTGTTTCTGAGTGCAGAGCCAGGAGTAACCCCTGTGCATTGCCGGATGTGACCCAAAAAGCAAAATAAATAAATAAAAATTAAAAATAAAAAAAATACCAATTTTCTACCATGACACTTGCTTTTCTTCTTTCAGACTCTCTTGTCAATGGCCAGAATCCTTCCATCCTGTGTCACTCCTATTCTTTTTGTTTTTAGCCTCTAAAGCTCAAGCCCTGTGATGTCAGGGGTTATCCCAGGCTACCGGGGCTACACTGGTGGTGCTCAAGGGACCGTGTGGTACCAGGGACTGAACAGGGGCGGCCGCACGGAAAACATCTCCCCAGCCCGTACCCCCCCTTTTTTTCTCTCTTTTGGGTCACACCCGTGATGCACAGGGGTTACTCCTGGCTCTGCACTCAGGAATTACCCATGGTGGTGCTCAGGGGACCATATGGGATGCTGGGAATTAAACCTGGGTCGGCCACATGAAAGGCAAACGCCCTACCCACTGTGCTATTGCTCCAGCCCCCCTTATCCCATTTTTGTTGTTGTTTTTGTCATATCTAGCTGTGCCTAATCAGGACTTACTCCTGGTTCTGCGCTCCGGAATTATCCCTGGCGCTGCTCAGGGGACCAGCCATGAAAACAAAGTCAGCTGGCTACAAGGCAAGTGCCTTAACCTCTGTACTATCTCTCCAGTCCCAGGCCTTGTATCCTTAAATCACTTTCTATAATTTTGCTTTTTCTTACCAGAAACTCAGGAAACACCCCAGACCTTTGGCATACTCCTTTGCCCCGGGAGTTCTGTGCAACTCAAGCAGTTGAAGAGCTTCAGGCCCCTTCAGCCACAGAGCCAGTGGGAAAATATCCAAGTTCATTACAACTCTCAGAAGAAAGGCTCTGAATAAAGAGCAAGGCTGGTGCCTTTGAGGGAGAGAACCGTAGGGAAGAGAGAGGCTGTCCCAGAGCCAGGCCTGGGTTCCCAGCAGGCAAGCTGACAGAATCCCTTGCCTTAGGCAGTTTTGTGCTTTTCCTTCTCTTGTGCTACACCCTTCTTGGCCCACAAGAATGACTTTCCTCCCTGGGGAAAATGATCCGTGAGAAAAAAGACTTGCCAACTAGTGAAAAAGTAGGACAGTTAACAAGGATACGGTTTGTTCTGCTACTGTTTACCCAGTGATAAATAAAAACATGGACACTTAATACCTATTACTCATTTTTATTCAAGACAGTTTGCATGGAAAATACTGTGTGTGAAAAGCAAAAAGCATTTCTTTCTCCAAGGAAGACAATTTTTTTTTATTTAAAAAAATATATTTGCCTTACCTTGCCTGTCCACCCTCATTCTGAGGTTGAATTGCTCGTGTCTTTGGGAGGGATGAAGGGTGGTGGTCTATCTCACTGTGACACACATCTCCCAAATTCCGAGTACCTGTGCTGGGCTCGGGTCATGGCATCCTCCATGGTTTCTTATGACACTGATGGTATCCTGGTCACAATTTCCCTGTCTGGGCTCCAGCTGAAGATCTTGGCTGGCCAGGTCCTGGGATTTAGCACATCCCAGAGCCATCTGTGAAAATGTCTTTTCACTTTACACAGCAATTAAAATCAGAGTTAAAAAGGCAAACTAATTTCTTTGGAGTATTCGTAGCATGGGCCGCTTTGATGCTAGAATTGAAACTGATTCTACAGTTGTGAGAAAGCCCCCCGACCTGGCCTTCATCTTTGGATGGGTGGGTGGTAATAACAGTGTGTGCCCAGTTGAAAAGCTGCCACAGGTCTTGGTTTCTCAAAATCACAGCTAGAGCACCCTTCATGTGAGACCCAGATCCCTTTGCAGAGGTGGAAAATGACGAATTTCCAACAAGGCTGCTACCACTGGAAATTAATGGGCATAGGAGGTCGCCTCAGTGGAGAAAGGTGTTTCCTGTAGGTAGCTGAGGAAAAGGCCCACATGCACCTGTGTTGAAGGTATAGGGGCCTGTAACCCACCACCCCTGCCCTCTGGGCCCACTCTTACTACATATTTTCCAGGGACACAGAAGTAAGGAAGTCTCGGATACTCTCCAGAACCACCCTTAATCCCACTAGCTAAATCTCCTATGTATCTGTTCATGAGAGGAAGCTAAGCCATTTACTGCTCTGCCTGAGACAAATGCTTTTCTTTATAGTAGAAAAAAATAATAAATACTTGTCTAAGCCTGCTCTCTGTATATTCTACTTCATTTCCACCTAGATAAATGGGCTTTGTGATGGGAAGTCCTTGGTGAAGGTGGCTAGAGAATATGTTTAAGGAAAAGAAGCTAAACACAGGCACACAAACCCTGCTCAAGGAAGCTAATTTCCAGTTTCTGGAGGCCAAACAGAAGGAAGAAGCACAAAATGCAGCACCCAAATGATGCTGTGTATATGTGAGCAGACTCATGCACCCAGGAAATAACAGGCGATCTCGGCATTTGTGCAAGGTGCAACAGATCAGGTTTATATCACAGCAGCTCATGCTTGCCAATAGACTCACCGACTGCTCCTTGCCAATAACTAGAGGATGATGACATAAATGGAAGCATTTAGTATTTTAAGCTTCATTGTGTTTCAGGAAAACTTTTGCCTCCAATTTCCAATGGACCTTCCATCATGACTCTGTAGTTTACATTCTTTCTCTCACCACTTACAATTCCAACTTTAAGAACTAAGAAAGGAACTGGGGGTGTGGGCCAACAGTAGGGCAGTTGCTTAGTATATTCGAAGCTCTGGGTTCAAGTCCCAACACCACAAAAGTTAACAGAATAAAACAGAACAAAAGTAGCAGCGAGCAAATTAACAGAACTGTAAAAACAGCGAGCAGATCTCTGAATGAAAATCACTGTAATTCTCAGCTGACAAAGAGAATATGTTAAATGATAACTTACTGTATCTGTTAACATAGGTGGAACCCAACATTGGAGAAGAAAATCCAGGGACCAGTCCTCCCAACAGTGATTTGGCGACTTTTCTGGGGTTTGTTTTTGAGCCTTTGAGATATACCCCAAAATGCTTACTCCTGTAAGCCAGGGCTTACTCATGGCTCTGTACTCAGGGATCACTCCTGGCAGGACTTGGAGGATTGTATGTAGTGCCAGGATCCAATTAGGGTCAGCTGTATGCAAGGCAAACACCTTAGTCCTTTATCCTCTCTCCAACCCCTTGGCTACATTTTAAACAGTAACTAGAAAGAAATGCGCCACAAAACAAGATAAGTCAATATCTCCAAGAAAATCTACTTTTTAAAAAATAACTATTACTTCTCCAAACAGCTATCATGATAAATTTCCTTTGATATTTTAATTCTTGTACCAAAATGTCCAAATCAGAAACCTGATGTGTCCAACTAAAAAGTTCAAAAAGAGAAAAGGAGTTTACACATTTTATGATTAATAATTTTATTTACATCACTGGAATTATTTTCTTAGTCACCTTGATTACAAAAGCAACTGAACATGGGACATTTAATAACCTCTCATAAATTGATTTTACAAAATTAATAACGGACAGATTATTACTTAATACTCAGTAATACTTAATACTTAGTCACTTCTGCATATATGCATAGGAAAATTCTGTCTGATAGGACTAGTAAGTATGAGAATGTTCTTTACTTGGGACCAGACAATGAGATTATTAGTCAAGGGTTAATTCCCCCATCACTGGGTCAGTCAGCTAGCGCCAATAATTCATTCACTGCCAAGAACAAACCAGCTGTAGCAACTCATACTTAGGGAGTTGGCATTTTCAATGTTTTGAGAGTCACATCCTTCTTTCTGCCTTTAATAAGGCCATCACTAAGCACATCTGGAAACCAAAAGCTTAGATATTTATAACAGAACGTATCACAGTATATCAGAAAATAGCTCAAACAAAAGTCACGTTTCTCTCTCCAGTAAGTGTTTTTCTAGTACTCTCTCTCTCTCTCTCTCTCTCTCTCTCTCTCTCTCTCTCTCTCTCTCTCTCTCAAGGTTTATGTCAATATGTACACATACCCCACTTTCCCCCAAAGGGTTCTGACAAAAACCCAGCCTGGCTGTCTTGCCCCCACAAAATGCTGTCATTAGACTGCTTCTTTTGTGACCTTGCTGGCAGAACGAGACCACTGTTAAGTGCTTTCACAGTGCTTGAAGTCTGAACACCAGGCCGTGTTTGGGTAACCAACCTTCTTCTACAGAGACAGAAAAGCTGCCAGACCTTCCCCAGTGCCACCCCCTCGGGACAGGAGGTGGGCCCAGAGTGGGTGACCACAAACAAGCAGCGGAGAATGACAAGCAGCTTATGAGTCACTCAGAATCGCAGGAAAGCTCTTGCTTTAGCAGCTTTAAGTTACAAACACAAGAGTTGATACACGTACCTTCTTCACGGAAGCTCTATAAGAGCCAAAACATGGTCTTTGCCACATTAGAACTGTCATCAGAGGTACGGCTGTGCTGGGTCACTGTCAATCCGAATGCCAACGGAACTAGCTGGACTGTCTGTCCCCCACCAAACCTCGAAGGCCCCACCCAGTCCTGACGTGTGAGATGAGTCACTGACTCCTTGGCCCTAGATGTGGGGTGCAGGAGCACAGCATTGTCAGGAGCCAATTCCATGCTGTGAGCACTCTTGGGAGGGGCGATCACACACTAGGACACCCCTCATTTTCCCACTGTTCTCGTCAGGGGGCAGTGATGAGGACAAAGGTGTCTTGTGAATCAACTCCACTCCACTGCCCATGTACACAGCAAGTAAGATATCAGATCTCTTCATTGTGCTAGATCTAAGAAACAATCATGATAAAAATCAAATATTGCCCTAGGAAAAGGCCTCATTACTTAGTTAAAAAAGAAAAACAAAACAAAAAAATCAAATATTTCTAAGGATTTCAAGGCTGAGCTGAAACCCATTTCCTCGGCCCTTCTATCCCTCCAGGCCGGGCAGGGCTAGGGCACCCCTTCAGGCCTTTCCCACCTCTGCTGCACAGACCGGGGGATGGAATCCATCTGGTTCCTGCTGCCTTTGTGTGTATGTGCTTCATGTTGAAATCGTGTTGCCTTGTTGGGTGGCAACCAGAGAAATCAAACAGTTCAGGTAGGGACTTGGGTCCCCAGGCTTGTGGGCAGAGTGCACGGCAGTTACAACAAACACAGACCCACACTGGGCACGGCTGAGCGTGAAGGCAAGGGCACACTTCCACACTGGACTCAGGATGCTCATCCGGTGCACTAGGTCTGCTAGGAGGGAAAATCACCAGCCAGTGTAAAAAGCCCGCGTCTTCCCCTGGTGAGTCCATTACCTTTCACCAAGAAATGTTAACTATCAAACGAGTCCATTAACTGTGCCGCTGAGGGTGAAACCATCCAGTTAGCATAAACACTATCATTTGCATAGCGTGGACACCCACTGTTAGTGCCATCGGCTCTCGTGTGTGGTACAGGACTCTCTTCAGGCCAGTTCGGGTCTGACATGCCTAAAAATGAAAACAGATCATTTGTTCTGCACTGAAGAACCACAACTTCATGTGCAGACAGTAAGGCCTTGGCAAAACTCCCTTTGAGGTTCAAACCAAACTTGTGTTTTCTGTGCCAATTACACAAATGGTTTCAGGCTCCAGGTTTCCAAATCAACTGTTCGATTTAGGGAATTAGTATGTGCAACTGTCACTTAGAGGAAACGACTGTGTTTGACTTATCTGATGAGTTTCAAACTCTCAAATCTGATTGTTATTCGTTGACCCATTTTAACTTTTGGTTAAGGCAGCAGAGTGCTCAGCACAGATGCTGTACAAAGAGGTTTACTGCAGCAGAGAGCATCTACAAAAAGTTCTCTAACAGAAAGAAGCCTATTCTACTCATCTTCTGTCTGAGTCTAACTGGGCGGAGAGGATCTTCCCAAACGAGGGCGCACGCAGGCAAGCCCTACAGCGCAGACAGGACAAATGGCGTGCAGTACTTAGACCCAAAGCCAGCCAGGAATAGCGACTCAGGAGGCATGCAAAAGGAACCAGGTCGGCTGAAAATTGCTTGCAATTCCAAGATTTCCAAATCACCAAGGAAGTTAGGAAACAGGAATAAATTTTCTTTTTCATGTATTTAATTGAAGACGAAGGAGTTTTGGCAAGAACCGTATTTACTGTCCATTGTGAACTGACAGCACCATGAACTATGTTTTTTCAAAAGCACTTGTTCCAGCTTATAGCACTGACTTCGTAAGTGACAACCATCCTGAAACACCATAATGAAAAGGATGCGAAAACAGCAGTTTGCTAGGACCAGGGGTGGGGTGGGGGGGTGGGGGGGACCATGGTGGGGAGGCACTCCTTGACAATGAACACATGACTGAGGCCAAGGCCGGGCTCTCTGGCAGCGGGGGGCCTCCAGGGGTCACTGCCTCTCTGGACAGCATCTGGTGGGCGATCCACTGGCTATGCCCTCTGTGTAGGCAGGATGTAGCTGGTTTCTCCTTTTATATTAAATGCCTCCTCAGACTGTGTAGATTTGTCCCCAGAATTAAGCTGAAAGGCCCATGACTGGAAACCCACCCCAGCAATGGCTTCTTCATCATTTTCTCACTATCCCCTGAGAGTTCTGCCCTGCTCTCTTTCTTCTGTTTACATCTTAAACAGCTGGGCAGTGAAGTGATTACACTTATTTTCACATCCTTTAAAAAACAAACACAAACACATACTTGTAAAAATGCCTGCATGTAAATGGATGCAAAGTCAGACATTTACAAATAGAAAGGTTCAGAGCAGACTTTGGTTTCATTCGGACCAGAAACATTCTTAGGAAGCTTTACAGAGAGTAAGGAGAGTGCAGAGAGAGGAACAACATGGCTAGAATCTAGTAAATGCATGTGAAATTCTACCATAGAGTTTGTTTTCAATCCACGTGGAAGGGAGGGCTCGAGGGAGGGGAGCATTATTACAGTCCACCAGGGGTGTCTCCTCCTCCGAGAGACCATCGTCATAAAGCAGGGAATCAGAAGGTGTGGATGCAGCCAGGTCCAAATAGTCCTGAAAGAGAAAGAAAGCTGGTCACCCCCTGACTGGGCCGCCCATGGACATGCCCTTGACCATCCATCTCAAAGCCGCCCTGGTTCCAGACCCCACTAAGCTGACCCCCTCTATACAAGCCCTTAGTGTCCCTTGTCCAAACCCAGCACTGAACCTCTACTTTGCATGGACCTACTCCAAGACCTTTCTTATTGCCTCCAGTAAATCGCTATCTTGGGAGCAGCAATTACATTACATTCTAGAGCTTTATGTTCTAGAGATTTCTCTGCAGCTCTGGGGACCAGCCTTTTTACTCACCCTTGGGGAAGCCTGACTCATGGGAGAATCAGGAGCCATCCCCACCTGCTGACACCTCTGCTCTTTTCTAAGGAGCTGTGCGCACAGACCCACCACTGCAGACCAACCACTGCGCTGGAACTTAGCATCTGGAACTGGGCTGTGTAACCAAATGTGCGGTTGCCAAGAAATGGGCACCCAACAAACCAACCGGACAAGGTTTCTGAGGGCCCGGTGGCCAAAAATAAACCTTAAACCAATCATGTCAAGAATCCCAGGTGTGAGGCCAGAAGGATAATACAGTGGGTAGGGCGTCTGCTTACATGAGGCTGACCCGGGTTCAATCCCTGGCATCCCATTTTGTCCCTTAAGCCTTCAAGGAGAGATCCCTGAGTGCAGAGTAAGGAGTCAGCCCTGAGTACCCCTTGCCCCTAGAAAAAGAAGTGTCCCAGGTAACCCCAGGTATTCACCTGTGGGGTGTGCTTTTTTGGGTTAAATGGGGTTATGTGTGGAAAAAAAATTAAGCAGTTCTCCTCTAGAACAGGAAATGAACAATTAGATGAACAATTAGAGCTTGTGGGTGTGGGTTTTTCACAGGATGCTTCTGCTTGTTCAGCTCCCAAACACAGTGAGTCCCGAGTGACTGCTACTTCTTACTGCCTGAGAGAATCATGTGAAGAGCAGTTACAGCGTTTTATGGCCAAGTCTCAGTACTGTTCTAGAAGGTTCTCTGGATTACTTTTGTTCAGGGCCATCAGCATTTACAGGACTCAGAAGCTTTTCCCAAATGCTACAGTGATGCTGGGTTTTATTACAAGTATCCTAGACCATGCATCTTGGTGTATGTGTGTGTGTGTGTGTGTGTGTGTGTGTGTGTGTGTGTGTAAGAAAGACTGTTCAGGAAAGGAAAGGCGCCCAATGTTAGGAGAAGCCAAAAGGAGTTGGACTGTGGTTCTGTGGTTGTCTTGTTGACTCACCTCCCCAGCATGAGACAGAATACGGAAAGGACCGCTGATGATAAATGTCAGTGGAAACTTGGTTGGCGTTCTCATTTACCTACAGAAGTGTAAGCAGGAGACTCCAGGCTGAAACTAACCTCCCCGACATGTTCTGTCTGGCCCACACTGGGCAATTTTTTAAGGGGAAGCCACCCCTGGCTGTACTCAAGGCTTACTCTTGGTTCTGTGCTCAGAGATCACTCCTGGTGGGGTTTGGGGAACCATATGAAGTGCTGGGGATCCCAGGTCAGCTGCATGTAAGGCAAGCTCCCTAGCTGCTGTACTATCGCTCTGGCCCCACACACTGCACTGGTGTTTTGAAATTTAAATAGAGTTGTAGCATAAAATTTGGGAAACTTGGCATCAGTGTCTTTTAAAATTCCCAAGGTCTGGCAAGCTGGTGCTTCTATCCCAGCTGCTTTTGGGCTGCAGCGAGGGGTCTTATTGTGGTGACAGCTCCCATAGGCCACACAGTCCACCACTTCCTGGTCCTTTCCTTTGCCCCACTGGGCTCCTCATAGATGTGAATTCAGGACACCCCCTCTACCCTGCTTTCTCCTGTTCCATGACTGACAGTGCAGTTGTGGTGGTCTTTGGACTATCTCCCTCCTGCACCTGTCTGTGATGAGTGCTTTCTAATGTCAAGCTGAGAATCCTCATGATTTGGAAAATACCAGGGGATTGGGATCAATAAGGGTGGGTTGCTGCTGGCCCGGAAAAATGCGGGCCCGTCTTTCCCTACACAGTCTCACTCTACCCCTGTGGGACTGGGGACTTCTCAGACCTGAGCTGAGATGGGAATCCCCCTGCCACCAGGTTCAGTGGTCGTGGGTGAGCAGCCCTGCCAGAGCTCAGGGTACTCACTCGGCTCTTCACCATCATCTTCTCTAGGTCTTTGCTAATGTCAGCAAACACAGGTCTCTTGTCTGGTTCCTGCTTCCAACACTGCAACATGAGACCGTACCTGGGGACGAAGCAGAGATGGGAGTGATAATGCCCCAGGGACCAACATGCCACCTCCATGCCAGTGCTGTGTCCAGAGTAACAGAGGGGCATCTGTTCCCAAATTCTAACACTATTTCTGGGGCTGACATCCTGCTCTGAGCTGAGTCACAGTCTGAGGGTTCACTTGGGGCCCAGGGCACCAGGGGCTGTGTTCCAGCAGGCTGTACACCTCCCTTCTTTGGAGACATTTATTCTCACTTCTCTTTCAGAGACAGTGGGAAACAGCCCACAGGATGCTGTGCCCACAACAACAGCAGCTGAACAGGAAATGCAGGTGCTTTAAGGCTTGATGGAAGATGAATGGGGCATGGAGACCAATGCACTTGTGCCGATTATGCCTGTCTGCCACTAGTAAATCATATACATGAGGACCAGTAGAAATTACTTGGTGGGGGGTGGAGGTGGGGGAGGTTAGAGAACCAAATACCTTTTGTGTGTGTGTGTGGGGGGGAGGATTTGTGTCACACCCAGCAGTACCTGGGGCTTACTCCTGGTTCTGTGCTCAGGGGTAACTTCTGGCAGTATGTGCAGTGCCGGGGATCCAAATAGGATGGCCACATTCCAGATAGGTGCCTTACCCGCTAATAAAAGCCCAGGCTCCCCTAGCCCCTGTCTTGGCACTCCCTGATCTACATAAACTGTGATTCAATCCGAATGACCTGCCTTTCCCCTCAGGATCCTTCCGGGGACAGATCACTGTGCACACCAGCTGCTTCCTCAATATGAAGCGGCTCTTGTTTTTTGTTGTTGTTATTGCTTTTTGGCCCCACACGGTGGGGCTTGGGGCTTGCTCTGACTGTGCTCAGGGATCACTCCTGCTGGGTTCAGGGGGCAGCGTGTGTTGTCAGAGATCAAACCCAGTTAGCCATGTGTGAGGTGAGTGGCCTCCCTGCTGTATTGTCTCTCTGGCCCCCTTTTCACATTGTTACCCCCTATCCCTGAACCCTGGATCCCACTGCCCTTTGACCCTGTAAGTGCCCTAGGGAGCAGAGTCCTCCCCACCCCAGATGGGATTCCCAGTATCCTCTGACTTCTGCCTTACTCCTGACCCACCTCCCAGCTCCCCTTGCACCGACCCTCAGGTTGTGCAGGGCCAGAAGGGCTGAGCAGGGCCACCACCCCCTTCGCACCCAGCCTTCCTAGGTCCCCGGGCTTGCTCACATCTCCTCGCTGCAGTTGTCAGGTCGCTCCATCCGGTAGCCCGTCTTCAGAAGGTTGAAGAGCCTCTCCGGAGGGATCCCAGGGTATGGGTTGCCCCCCAGGGTCACAATCTCCCACAGCAGAACCCCGAAGGACCACCTGCGGGAGAAAGAACACCTGTGAGGTGCTGTGCCCGGTCTGCGGTGCCCACCCTACAGCAGCCACTGACCCGGCAGGCCCCAGCGCCAAAGGAGGGCCCAGGGTCTCACTGACAGCCAAGAGGTGTGGAATGGAGGAGGTGTCAGCATCCGGCCAGCCTGTCCCCACCTAATTGAGCCCAGAGTTGGGGCCTGAGCTCACCCTCCACAGTTACAAGAGTCTGGCCCTGAGGTGAGGTGTGGAAGCCTCACAGCTAAGCGCAGCGACATGGCCAGGGGACCCTAGACGAGGGCATGGGGCTCCTTGCACAACTCCCTCACTCCTCCTGTGCACTTGGGACATTTCATAAAATCTCCAGAGAGATAGCAGGTAAGGTGCTTGCCTTGCATATGGCTGATCTGCGTTCAAAGCCTGAGCACAGTAAAGCCAGGAGTAAGCTCTGACTAGCACTGGGTGTGGCTCCAAACCAAACCAAACCAAACCAAACCAAACCAAATCAAAATAAAATAAAATCTCCTAAGAAAATAAACACTGCCTTGGTAAAAATACCTGGCTGTAAGGGGAAAATTTATAGAGAAGTGGAAATAACTATTACAAACTAGCATGATTGTAGGAATCCACTTAATAAAAAGAATGATACCTTCAAACCACTAAAAACACTAGTAAATCATATACATGAGGACCAGTAATAATTACTTGATGGAGGGTGGGGGAGGTTAGAGAATCAAGTACCTTTTTTTTTGGGGGGGGGGGGAAGGATTTGTGTCACACCCAGAAGTACCCGGGGCTTACTCCTGGCTTTGTGCTCAGGGATAACTTCTGGCAGTACGTGCAGTGCTGGGGATCCAACTAGGAAGGCCACGTTCCAGATAGGTGCCTTACCTGCTAATAAAAGTCACTAAAAAGACTAATAAGTGAGATCCAGCCCCATAGTGACTTTTATTAGTTTCTTCATTACACTTTTCTCTGCATTTTCCAATCGTCCTACCGTGAACTTTGGTAACCAGAAAATAGGTGATGAAAACAGTTTCAGAATTAACTTTTCACGGCCCACTTGATTCAAGAGACGCATGTCTGCAGGCACTTAAAAACAAGTCGGCAGCAGTCCTGGGAGTGATCGCGTCTTACTCATGTTGTCTCCCATCTCTGAGAAGTTTGGGGCTCAATCAAGGTCACCCCTGCCAGGTACGGAGGGACCAGTGCAGGGGAACCTGCTCACAGATGGGACTGTCTGAGGGAGCCTGTGTGCCACAAGAGCCCAGAGAGGAGAGGGCAATGGAGAGCATGAGAAGGAGAGAGAGGAGGTAAGGTGGGCAGGGAGGGGGCGTTGCAGTTACCCCTCACAGTGCCATAAACTCCATGCCTGACTCGAGCCATTCTCGAATGAAGAACTTATACCCTCTCAGCTTGGGTGCCTTGAGGATGGCTGGCATGCTCCAGAAGGCATGTGGAGCGCCAATGTTCTCTAGTCAAGATGCCCTGTCAGCCCCACCACACACCCTCCAGCCTAGAAACCAGCAGTGCCCACACTTACACATCACTCTGGGTGGTGTAGATATGATCGAAGAGGGACTCGATCGCCATCCATTTAACTGGAATCCGGCCCTAGAGAGGGAATGCAAGGAGGCTGTGTAGGTCACCCTGACACTCTGGGAACAGGGGTGGGGGTGGTTGCAGGGTGTGGAGGGTGTGGAGGAAGGCAGGGTCTGGGGGGATGCTGGGTGATGTCACCCAGGGTGCTCTGGATCACAGAACCGCAGCCTGCTCAGAGAAGCTGCTTCACTCTCCAACCTGGCGCTGGCCTGGCCTCCTCTGCCCAAGATGCCCTGTCGAGGAGGATAGCAGGCCGAGCCCCGACAGGACACCTACAGGAAGCCCACAGGATGACAGAGAAGAAACTCCGGGACTGATACACGTTCTAGGTCATAGGAGCACCCTGAAATGCGCTACCCAACAGTGGGGCCACACACGCACCATCGAGCAAGATGGGCCCTGGTTTCTGAGGATGAACGGATTCAGGGGAAGGGATTCGAGGGACACAATGTCCAGCCTTTTCATATTGGGGATTTCTGTCAAACTAACACATTATAGGCTCTTCGGAGCAACCTGTGTCACTGTTCGGTGGGCTGCGCATGGTTTACTCCTTTCTTTTCATGCCCAGGCCTGTGGTTCAGCTTCCATGAGCCAGACCCCATCAGCAAGGCTGGGGTCAGACCTCACACCTGCTTTCCCAGGCGCCAGGAGAAACCCCTAGGTCAATAACTAAGTTTTCCAGCACAAGTCAATTTTGAAAGACTGGGCATACTGGTTTCCAATGCAAGCTGCATGCCAATTCCTTTTTCTTAAAAATCCTCCCTTAGCATTTGTGTCCTGAGCAGCATGACTTGGGCACGGCCGACCCTGCAGACTGCACTCACGGGGCAGGACCTAGGCTCGGGTGTCTGTGCTTCGCCTGTCCATGGACCCTGAACACAGGGTGATTTTGGAGGAATGGTGCATGCAGGGAAAGGCTCTGCCCATCCCCCCTTTCGGGCAGGGAATGGCCCCCTCCATGTTCTTTCAGCAATTCTCAGATGTGCCACGAGCACAGAAGCGGGGAAAAAATGAAAGATCCCCTCCACACAATGGGCATCCTCTGCCTCTCTGAGCAAAACTGAAGTGGATATAACTGCACTCTCTCTCCTCTTTTGAGCTGGTCTGCTCTGAATGCCAGGCAGAGAACACCCCAGGGGCTGGCCCTGCCTGCTCTGTGTGGGTCCTCTGCAGGACAGGGCTGAGAACAACCAAACCCAGAGGGTCAAACCCCACGGCAGGGAGCCAGGGCTTTCCAGATCTGGGGTCTCACCCCCCACTTGCTTCAGAGACCTGGAGAAAGTTTTCAAGACCCCTATCTGCACCCCATCTAAAGGGTCTCCCCCTGTGCTTTCTATACACTCCCAGAAAACCCTCAGGGGCAAAGTGGTTCATTCCTTTTTATAAAGAACGCCCGCCAAGCTCAGGTTATTTCTCTACTCTTCTTTAAATAGAGAGCTTACATCACACAGAGAGGGAGCAGTGACCTTTCCTGCAGTAGAAGCAAGAGGAACTAAGTGCAGAGAAGAGAAATGGCATTTCCAAGGGACTGGGTGACCTTCAGCAGGGATGTGGATTCAAAGCCAGAGAAGCTCCAGGGCCCCAGGGACCCAGTGGGAGTCTTTCTGAAAGGGGTGGATGTGGCATTTAGGGACAAGGGCTGAGTCTTAAACCAGGACGGGGTATCTCTGCGGGTCGAGAATGAGGAAGAGTTTGGAGGTGAGGGTTAAAAGTAGGTTAGAGCCTAACACTCTGCTTTACCTTCTCCAGATGTTCTAAGGGCCCTGTAGGATCCCTGACTCCTGTCAACCCCGCTCCCTACCACCCCAGTTGAGAATCTCTGGACCAGCACCCCAAAACCTGGTACCTTGCTCCTCTTGACATAGGAGTCCTCTTCATAGACGTCTCGGGACAGGCCAAAATCTGAAATCTTCATCTTCCGGCCCTCAGCGACCAGGACGTTCCTGGCCGCCAGGTCCCGATGAACGAGCTGTGAGGAAGACAGCGTCGGGAGCTCACAAACCTGGGACCCCATGGCAGGTGGCAGAGGGAGGAGGGGTGACCCGGGAATGGGGTGGGGGCTAGGCTGGGCCACTGCTCACCTTCATCTCGGCCAGGTACTGCATGCCCCGAGAGATCTGCCAGGCAAAAGAGATGAGGTCGCCCATGGTCAGCGCCCGCTCATCCGGGTTGTCCAGGTAGCTGGAGTTGCGGCTGCCCCGGCTGCCCCCGCTGCTGCTGCCGCCCACGTAGCCTGGCCCCGCTTTGCGGCTCTCCCGGAGGAAGCCCCGCAGGGAGCCGTACTTAGCGTACTCCACGATGAGGAGGAGCGGCCCTGCGGGTGGACATGGGCCCAGAGATCAGGCCAGCTCTGAGCCATAGACAGACACTGGCTGGCTTCCATGCCCCCTACTGGCAGCCGCGCAGACAGACAGAGCCTGCTTCTCCGCCCGCCCCGGCTGCAGAAGTAGCTGCTTTGTGGGGCAGCTGTGCATGACTGTTTCCCGGAGGGGGAGGAAGGCGAGGGGGTGGTCCAAGGCAAGAGACCTCAGCACTCTGCTGCTCTGGGAGGCACCCCTGGCCGCTAGGACATAGCGCCTTATTTGGGCGCAGTGCTGGGGATGGTTGGGGGTCACTGGCAGCAACACTCGGCCAATGGGCTTGAGGCTCAATGCTAGAGCCCAAGGCTGCAGTGCCACTTGTGGAGCTGGAGCTGGAGCTGGAGACCATCTGGGTTGCTGAGGGCTTCTAGGTCTACACCCAGAAATGCTCAGGAGACCAAGTGGTACCAGGCATCAGGTGCACGCAAGGCACGATGCTGCACTTTCCCATCATGCCTTGCTACTCCTCAGTCTGGCTGCAGGCAGAGGTTCTGGGTCTGCACTCAGCTGCCTGCCTGCTGCTGTCTGCCTTAGGTATAGTCCCGAGTCCTGCAGGGGCTGACCGTCATCTCTGCTGTCCTCTCTGTGGCCTCCTAGTATCTCAGCCACACACAGACACACACGCAGAGGAGCAGTGGATTTGGAAGTCACCAGCCCAGGCTGAGTCCTCACAGAAGGAATGATGGCAATGCCTTGGCCTTGCAGGGCTGAGACCAGGGTCACCTGGGTGCCTTGGCATACCTAATTCATTTCTGGGGTTTCTTGTCTTGGGGACTCTCTGCCTGGAGTGCGTGCTGACAACTGGGTGCTACAGAGCAGCCCCAGCAGGCTCAGGGACACTACTCACTGTGAAGGGAGGGCCCTACAGCCCCTCACTATCCCCCCACCCCTGGCCCCCCACACAGCAGGATGCATTCTCTAGGCCAGAGAGCCCACACGTCCAGAAGGATGGAATACAGACTGGGAGAGAGGACAGGCCAAGAGACCACCAGGGCCAAAGCCAGGATTGCTAGGGGACTTCTAGGTTTACACCCAGAAAAGCTCAGGAGGCCAAGTGGTACCAGATATCAGGTGCATGCAAGGCATGACCCCGCACACTGCCATCATGCCTTGCTATTCCCTCGGACCGGCTGCAGGCAGAGGGCCTGGCTCTGCACACACCAGCCACCTGTCCACTGCTGTTGTCTGCCCAAGGTATAGTCCTGAATCTGTATTCTGTCTGGGAAGTAGGAGAAATGGCAGCCTGGAGTCCCCTGTGCCCTGTGGCTTCTTGTTCCAACGGGCCTCACCGTCCTGGCTGCAGGCCCCGTAGAGCTTGATGACCTGGGGGTGGTTGACCTGCTTCAGGAGGTTGAATTCGGACAGCAGATCCCGCAGCTCGCTTGGGGAGGCGTTTTCTGAAATGCAGAGAGACAGCAGGATGTAGATGGGGCCTCCTCCCCCGAAACACCTTCAGGAGCCCTGTGGGGTCACAGGAGCCAGAACAGGGGCATGCACTGACCCTGTTACCTCTTTTCACAGATGCCCAAACCCAGCTTCATAAAAGGACCAATGGACACCCCCCCTCCCCGCCCCCTGCAATGCTCAGGCCTTCCCTTCTGTGGGGGTTTGATGGTGGTCTCTGCTGCCCCTGGGGAGAAAAAGCTCCAGGAGCAAACATTCACATGGGCGGGATTTTCCCGAGAGTGGCCTCCGTGGTATTCATTTCCTGCTACTACCCTCCTTCAAGACTGTGCTGAAATGGCCCCATGAATCCTCCTGGGAAGGTGAGGGGCTTCCCCAAGGACCATGCACCCCACAGTACAGGGGTGAAGGGAAGGAGAAGGGAGGCCCAGTGGACTTCACGGGAGGTAAGTGTCCAGTGTCCCGGGCAGGTAGCACCATGGCTCTGGCCAGTGGCTGGGTATGGAGCTGCTGCCTCTTCTGGGTCAGCTGTTCCACACTTGTCCCTGGCTGTGCCACATCATCTTCCCTGGCCACACACATGCCCCAGAGTACAAGAACATCTGGGAGCCGGGTGGGCTAGGACCTCAAAGCCCACACACAGATGACAGGGGCCAGGGTCATATGGTGTCATGGTCCTGGAGAGACCCATTTTGGGCCTGGGGAAGCACCCAGAGCACCCCTTTCCCCAATCGCTACACTGGGGCCTGTGAATCCTGGCTCTCTGGTCACCAGCACTGTAACTGGGCTTGGTCCCTTGGGTCCCAAACACAGGGTCCCTGGGAGAGGGTCACCTGCCAAGACTGCAGAGAACTGCGCTGTGTGTGCGGTCCCCTCAGGACCAAACTCGGGTACGACCACTCCACAGCATGTGGCAGGCTCTCTGCAGGCTGCTGGGGAGTGGGCAGGATGGGGGCCACCCTGATGGGGGTGGGGGTGGGTGGGGGCTGGGTAGGGACTTTCTCCTACCAGGCCCCTGGCAGAAGCTGCTCAAGAGGAAAGTATGGCCAGACTGGGGTGGGGAAAGCTGTCAGCTGAAATTCAAAGACCTTCACATTTTAAAAAACCCTCAGATCTTTACCCATCCTTGGTGCAGGAGCAGCACCATTCTAGAACCTTCCAATGGAAGAAAGTCTTTACCCTTTTTCTCTAGGGACCACCCAGTCCAGGACATCCATGCTGGGGACAATGGTTCCCAAGAAGGACAATGGTCCCCAAGATTCACAAGGGGAGAGGGGCCACTTAGGAGGCCACAGGCCGACCAGTACCTTGGGGAGGGGGGCCAAGAGGGCTTACTCCACCCCTCCCCCGGGGAACCTGCAGGCATGTCAGTACCCCTGGGGCACATCCCTGAAGGTACCTTTCAGCATCTTCACGGCCACTGTGGTGTAGCCCGCTTTGCCTTTCAGCCGGAAGGCCGTTGCCTGGACCACTTTCCCAAATTCGCCTTCTCCCAGTGTTTTCCCAAGAATTAAGTTCTTCCGGGGGAATTCCCACTTTGGATCCTCCTACATTGGGGAGTGAGAAGTGAGGGGGAAAAAATTCTAAGGGTGAGAGGGAAGGCAGACAGGAAGAGTCTCCCTGGAGAGGCTCTGGTAGACAGACCTGAGCTTACTAGGGGTATGGGGAGTCTGGAGCGATGGCAGACAAGCAATGGCACTGGACTACCTTTTCACGCCTGCAACCCAATGATAAGAGGGAGGAAATGTAGATGGGGAAAGGGGGTTAGAGAGGAAGGAACAACGTCTTCATGGATGAGACACCAGGAACCCACAGAGAGGGGAAGAAGAGCTACATAAGGTGACAGAAGGTGACCCTGGGGCCCTGGGGACGGTGTGATGCAGGCTGTGATTCGGAGCTGTGTGTCAATGGGGAGCTGTGCTGGTCCAGGGAGCAGCTCAGCTGGGCCAGGCCAGGGCGGCTTCCTGCTGGAGAGCTGTGGCATGTGGACACGTCTGTGGGCACGGCTGCAGAGCTGTGTGGCTGCGTGTCTCGGCCCAGCACCAGCTTCCCACCTGACAGCCAGCAGACAGCCAAGGGACGGGGTAAAAGGGCAGAGAGTCCCAATGCTGGGGGACTTGAGGCCAGCAAATGAGGCCTGTGGCTACTGGTCTGGCCCTCTCTCTCGGGAGGAGACGGACAGCATGGGCCCAAGCGAGACACCTGCTCGGGAGTCACAGTTCAGCCTTGGGGAGTCTCGCAACTGTGGTGCTTACTGGAACTGGACCGAGGAGCCAGGTGCCTCGCCACAGCTAGCCTGCTGCTTCCCTGGGTCCTAGCCACAGGGTGGAAGAGACAATACAATGGGCAGAAAGTGCCTGCCTTGCATGTGACCAACCCTAGTTTGATCCCTGGCACCACTTCTGGTCCCCTGAGTCCTGCCAGGTGTGGCCCAAAGTGAAGAAAAAAAGAGTTCAATTATTAGGGCCAGAGAGAATACAATGGGCAGGTGTTTGCCTTGCACACGGCCATCCAGGTTCAATCCCTGGCACCCCAGGTGGCTCCCTGAGTGATTTCTGAGTGTAGAGCTCTGAGCACCGTTGAGTGTGGCCATCCCCTCTCCCCTCCCACACACAAAAAACAACCAAAAAACTGTGTTCTAGCCATGCTCAGGGACTATATTCAATTATGATGCTTCCTGCCTCCAGTGAGAGCTGACAACCCCCAGTGCAAAAGCATGTAGGGGACATAATTTTTACTGACAGCACCTGTAGGATGAACTTCTTCTACCTCCCGGCATCCACCTGTGACTATGGTGGAAACTGGCCCTGACCGAAGTCCAAAACAGAGTTTCCCTTTGCTCTCCTCTGCTCTATACTCCTGGGAAATATCTGGGGAGGGATCAGAGGGATAATTGATGGAGCAGCAAAACATGGAGCAGCTGGGAAAGTGGGGACTGTGGAATCGCCCTCCAGAAGAGAAAGAGCAGATCCTGCCCGCCTCCACTCAGATCCCAGCAGCCCCTTGGTACTGACCTTCCAACAGGAACCCCACTGCTCCCCACTGCCCTGGCTTCTACCTGTGTTGGCACCACACCTCCAACCAATTTTAGCAGGCACAAAAGCGTCAGAGAGTATATAAAGCAGCAGGCACCATAGTAACCGGGCTCCACATCCAAACATTTTCATAAGAAAAATGTAAGAAACTAGTGAAGGAACTCAAGCACAAAAAGGGATGATTTTTAAAATATGAGAGGAATCATAAAAAAAGAATGACAAATCAAGAGAACACCATAAAAAAACCAATTAAGATGGCAACAAATATTTAACTTTCAAAAATTACAATGTCAATGGTCTTCATTTTCTAATTAAGAGGGTAGTTGAGATGAGCAGATTTTAAAAAATCCAACTTTTTGCTATGCAGAAAAAAATATGTCTTGGAGTCTAAGAGAAACAGAGGCTCAAATTTAAAGGTTGGATAACAATCCCACTAGGGAATGACAGTTTTAAAAAGACAGGTTCAGCTGTTCTGACAAAACATAGGAATTCCAGGTTAAAAAAGTACTAAGAGATAAGGGTTGACAGTATATAATGTCAGTTTTATCATAAATTAAAAGTTTATAAAATAAAAAGGATAAACAGCTATAAATATAAGCAGCTATTGCACTTATTGACATACATGTACCAAAAGAGCATCCAAATATATTAAGCAATTATTAACACAATGAAAGAATGATATTGACAGTAATACAAATAGCAGGAAGCTAAGAGAGTAACTAAACGGAGAAAAAATAAAGAAAGAATAGCCTTAAATGATGAACTAGAACAGATGGGCTTAATAGACATTTATATAGAGCATTTCACCCCCAAACAGCTGAATTTACTTTTTTCAAGGAAAGGCCATATGCTGGTACAAAACAAGTATCAATCAATTTATGAAGACTGAAATTCTACAAAGCACTTGTCCTGATCTCAAGGCCAAAACATCTAAAAAAACAGAAAAACTTCAAATATATAGAGAATAAGCAATATGTTTCTCAACAATCATAGAGTTAATCAGGAAACTGAAGCCAAAATTTAAAAGATACCGGAGGAAAGTGAAAATACAAGTAATCAAACCTATAGGAACAGCAAAAGTGATACAAGGTAAGCTAATAATACAGACCATTATAAAGAATAAAAAAAACATAAGTATACACTTTAACCTGATAGCCAAGTCACTGTAAAAAGCACAATAAAGCCAAACATTAGTAGAAGTAAAGAAGCAGCAAAAATAAGGGTGAAAATTAATGAAGCAGGAACTGAAAACCAAGGGCTGGACAGCATGTAAAGTAAAAGGAACTCTCATGCACTATGGTGGGAATATAAATTGATTCAACCATTTTGGAAAACTTAGCGGTAGGGCGTTTGCCTTGCACGCAGCCAACATGGCCGACCCGAGTTTGATTCCTCCGCCCCTCTCAGAGAGCCCGGCAAGCTACCGAGAGTATCTCGCCCACACGGCAGAGCCTGGCAAGCCCCTCGTGACGTATTCGATATGCCAAACACAGTAACAACAAAGTCTCCAATGGAGACGTTACTGGGCCCGCTCGAGCAAATCGATGAACAACGGGAGGACAGTGTTCACAGTGTTCATGGAACCTTCTCAAGAAAAGATAGGGTCTGGAGTGGTAGTTCAGTGGGTAGAGTGTTTGCCTTGCATGTGGCTGTCCAGGTTTTGATTCCCGGCACCCTATATGGTCTCTGAACCCATCAGAATGATCCCTGGGCACAGAGTCAAGAGTAAGATCTGATCACTGCTGAAATGTGACCTCTTTGCCGCCCCCCCCTCAAAAAAAAGATGCTAAATATAGAACTGCCCTACGATCCAGCAATTCCATTTCTGGGTATCTATTCAAAGAAAGTGAAAACAGACATCTCCTGATCCTTTGCTCGCTCCCCCCACTCTATCAGGTGAGATTAATATCCCAGCTGACATCTTCAAGGCTTTTTTAGAACCGGAGGTAGACTCCTCTGCCTTCCGGCCAGTTTCCTGCATACCCCCTGTCTGGCCTCCGCCATATCAACAGGCCCAGTTCCACCTCTACAGAACTGCACATGAAGCTGGGCATCAGCTTCCCCGATGGCAAAGACTCACAGAAGCCCACCATGTTCAACGGGTGAAAACAGTAACACGGAAGTCTCAACTAGCTCAGTAAATCCTCAGAGAATGACTTCAGTGACACCTTGGTGAAGACGCTTAATGAGCTCTCAGAAAAGACTGCAGTCAGCCATCAGCAGAGTGCAACAAAGTATAAGAGCCAATATGACAAAATTACAATTTTAGAAATGAAGACTGTGGTATAAAAACCTCAATAAAAGGTCTGAGCTGAAGAAGTAGTTAAGAAAAAGATCAAGAAGTTCCAAGATAAGATGGAGGAAACTTATAGAAAATAACAGAAGATGGAGAGAAGTCTGAAGATGAATGAACAGCACACCAGACGAGTATGGGATGAATCCATGAAAATCATCAGAGCCCCTGAAGAACAGAGAGGTGCAATTGATGAAGATCCAAAACTTAAAGCAACCACAGATAAGAATTTCCCCAAGTTGAGGAATATAGGCAAACCAGATCCAAGATGCCCAAAGGCTCCCAGCAAAAACAGACTCAAACAGAAAAATAGCAAGACACTTTGTAGTCAGAAAGAAAAGAGCGAAAGACAGAGATGAATATTGAAAGCACAGATATTTTTTAAAAAAAAAGGAAATTACATTCAGAGGGCTTCTTTAAGATTCACAGTAGATATAGCAAATGAGACTCAAGGAATCAGAAAAGAATGGAGGAATGTAGTATAAAAATTGAATGACACGAATGCTTCACCAAGAATACGCTATCCAGTTGAAACCATTCAGATTTGAAGGAAGGATACCGAGCTTCAGAGACAGATAACAGTTTATGGAATTCATAGCCAAGAAACTAGTTTTGCAAGAAACGTTCAAGAAGCTTCTCTGAAGACAAGACAAACTTCTCAGCACTTGGTATGGAGTATGGTATTCATTCATGGAGTTTACCGTTGCCCTCTACTAGATTAAGAAAGTTTATTTATGCCTAGCTTGATGAGTAATTTTATACATTTTCAATAATGAATTGGATTTCATTTATATTGGGTGTTCTATGTCTGATCAGGTGTTTACTTTTTATGTCCATTGATATTTTTACTACAATCTTTTGCTTACTAATACAAATGATTAAGCAGCATGAGTATTATATTTTTCTAACATAAAACCAATATTCCCTTCCTGAGGATAAAACACACTTATATACTCACACTTATACACTTTCATAGGCCTATTTAGATTTCCTCTTACATTTTTCTTAATTCTTCTCAATCTTACTAAATTTTACATTTGTAGGACTTAGCTATCTCATGTAAATTTTAAAATGTATTATCATAAGAATTATTCATAATATTAAATTAAAAATTTATATACCTACACAAACATGCAGTTTTGAGAAATATTTTATCAGCTGATTTATTTTATCACTGATTTACAATGGTGTGGAATTTTAGTAGTTCAGTTCTATTCATCTGTATGTGTGTACAACACGTCACCACCTCATACACACATACATTTAAATTTTTTTAAAAATTAATTTAAAAACTCCCATACATGGGATAAAAAAAGACATAATAAGGGAATGACACATGGCTAAAGACATTGGAACTGAAGATTTTGTCTACAGAACTGAGCTTATAAGGGAAGGGAATGGGAGGGTCCCAGGGACCCTGATGGAGGAAGGAGACTCTGGTGATAGATGTGGTTGGAGTGATGTAGACATGAAAAGAATAATAACAGTATTGTAAATCCTCAAGAAAATGATATGTATTTTTGGGGTGGGTTGGGGTAGGAGGACTCTTGGCAGTGCTTAGGGTTTATTCCTGACTCTGAGTTCAGGGATCACTCCTGGAGGACTGAGGGACCATATGGGTACTGTAGATTGAACTCAGTTGCAAGGCAAGTTTATCTAGTCTATTTCTCCAGCCCCCAAATGTTTTCTTTATAAAAGAAATAATGTGAAAAGGTTAACACTACAAGTTCGATCCACACTGATGTTCATTGCAGCATTATTTATAATAGCTCAAATATGAGAGCAACCAAAGTTTCTGTTGGCGGATGACTGGATAAAGCTGCAGCACATTTATACAATGAAATACTACTCAGCTCTCTAAAAAATGTAAGCTGAAATGTTGTCCTTTGCAGCAAAATAAAGGGCGTTCAAGGAATATTGTGAGAAGTGAAGTAGGTGAAGAGGATAAAAGGCAAGTTCTGGATGACCTCGCCCAACGGTATGATGTAAGGCAGAAAACAAGAAATAAAATAATAAATCATAAACCTTAACAACAGAGCTAAGGTTACCTGGGGGAGGAGGGAGACGAAAGTAAAGGTATAAAGAAGGTGTCAGGTTTTACTTGTGAAAAAAGAAAACAAAACCAGCAGGAAGAAATTCTAAGAAAAAAAAAAACAACAGCAACATTAAAAATCAATCCCTCCCAGGGGCCAACAGAGAGTAAAGCAGGTGAGGTGTTCGCTTTGCATGTGGCTGACTCAGATTGGATGCCCGGCACCCCACAGGGTCTCCTGAGTTCTGTCAGGAGTACACAGTCAGGAGTAAACCCTGAGCACAGCTAGCCCAAACAACCAACCAACAAATAATCGCCCCCTGCCCCCATTTTATATAAGAGAAAACTGAAGTCGTGGCCCCCAGCTGGTCAGCACTGGGTAGATGGTGGGGACGGGGGTGGAGGGGCTGGGTGCTTGGGCTCACTTCTCCTGGGCACTTCCCAGCCAGCTCAGAGATGGGGGATGGCGCAGGGCTCAATCTCTGGCAACTGATTGATGAGAGTAGGAAATTGTCAAGTGAGGCTGCAGAGGCACCCACCTCCGAGAAGTGCTCTCGGGACCAGACCCTCAGCAAGGGAAGTGCCCGGTGGAAATGCTGATCCAGGCCCAGGACCACCATGGAGAGGAGGTTTGGGCTGGTTCCTTCACCAGCCTGAGATTCCACAGTCTCCAGCTTCGCTCCACTACGGCTGCCCCCATGGGCCCCGTGTTCCCCCTCAGCACTCCCTCACCACTGGACTCTCTCCTGCCACCACCTCTCAGCCTGTGTCTTGTCCAGTGCCTTGTTCTGGTGCTTCCACTTTCTACCCAGATCCCTCGACTAGAAAGTGGCCGCTGATGGAATTTGTGTTCCTCTGCACAAGCCCTGTCCACAGGGAACACAATCTCCATCTTCCTCAGGGGGTCCGCAAAGCACCAGTTCCTGGCCCGGGAAGCTCAGAGTGTGCTCCCCGCCGTCTCTCTCGGAGCACCCACTCTTTCCACCCCGTGCTGAGTGCTCACAGCCTGTGGCCTGGCCACCAGCACAGGTGGATGGAATGTTCTGGGCCTCCTCAAGGACATGAGGTGTCACAGGCCCCTGAGGGTGTGGGATTCCTGGAAGACAAGACTCCTGCCCTCCTGCTCCCTAAGACAGAGCTGAGAAGCCTTTGCCGGGGCCTCCCTAGGGGCCCCCGCGTGGAACCTCACCGGGATCTTGAAGGCATCCACAGAGACCTGGTTCTCCATGGAGTCGAGCGAGGGCCGGCGGGCGCCGGACGAGGAGTAGCTGACAGGGAAGGCCTGGGTGGGCCGGCGGAAGGTCATCTCGGCCGAGGCGATGGGCGGCTTGGGGGCGTTCTTGTGGAAGCGATGGATGCAGAAGATGGCCAGCAGCACCGACGCGATCAGGGAGCAGAGCACGGCCGCCACGACCACCATGCGGCAAAGCTCGTCACACAGCAGCTCTGTGGGCAGGGGTGGCCGTGAGGGGAGGGACATTCCTCCACCTGGTGCGGTGGCCCACAGGGCAGCCCGGTGTGAAGGTGCGAGGATCAGTCCCACCCCAACAGTGCCCCACACTGCAGGCCTGGAGACCCTCAGCACCTTCTCGTGATGCCACACGAGGCACCGCAAGGTCAAGTAGCCACCTGAGGTCCCACGGCAGAGGCTGTGCACCTGTGGCACCAGCCAGAGAAATGTCCCGGTTAAGGAGAGGAAGGTCTCCCTGCTTCAAATGTCTTTCGTACCTTTTTTATGGAAAAAGGGGACAGAAGTGCTACAGGGAGTGTGGCCCCTGGAGGCCCCCAGCATCACACCCTCAGGGTCTTGCACTGAACTTTTTGGCCAAGAATTGTAGGAGGGACTGTACTCCATCCCTTCTACCCCCAATCCCATTCCCTGAGGACTCTGGTTTCTTTTTTTTGGCTTTTTGGGTCACACCAATGCACAGGGGTTACTCCTAGCTGTGCACTCAGGAATTACTGCTAGCGGTGCTCAGGGGACCATGAGATGCTGGGAATTGAATCGGGTAGGCCGCATGCAAGGCAAACTCCCTACCCGCTCTGCTATCGTTCCAGCCCCTTCCTGAGGACTCTGGAGCAGTGCCCCAGATCTAGGGCTGTGTGGGAAGAACTCAGCTCTCTGGAGTATCCGCTCAAACTTGGGAAGGAAAGCTCCCAGGCGCCACCCCCAACTGCCCCAAGAAGAGGACTGGGGGGCTCTGGCTGGGATGGAAGGATCTAGCCAGATGGCCAGTGCTGTGGGATCACCACAGTCCCTCATGGGAGCAGTGTGTGTGTGTGTGTGTGTGTGTGTGTGTGTGTGTGTGTGTGTGCAGGAGTTGCTGGCTGGAAGATCTCAAATTCCAACCCAGAAGGAACCCCATCCCTGCTTGCTCAGATGGGGAAACTGAGGACCACAGGGAAGGAGGACGTGGGTGTCCCGGGTTTGCCAAGCTGTCCTGCCACTGCCTCCCTTGCTGGCTGGGGGTGGGGGCTGGGGAGTGGCCCCGGCAGACAGCGCCGGCCTCCACTCACCCTGGCTGTCCTCCGGCTCGCAGAAGCACTTCTTGTCGTCTGGGAAGCAGTTGCAGATGCCAAAGCCGGCTTTGATGCCACGACGCTCCCCTGGCTCATGCCCACCAACGATGTTGCCGCCCCCTGGAGACAAAAGCAGAAGCAGCCACTGGAACAGTCTGCTGAGCCTCGGGGTCTCCTGCCAGTCTGGCCCTCCCCACGCATGACAGAGTGTGAATGCCCTGAGTTCTCGAGTCCTGGGGCCATGACCACCCCTGCTTCAGGCCAGCTCCCTGGCCACGGGCCGAAGAGGGTAAGGGGAGAGCAGGGACTGGTGGGGGAGGGGTGGGCAGAAGAACCCAACTTCCAGGGTGGAGAAATAGTACAGCGGGTAGGGCCTTGCTTTGCATGTAGCTGACCTCGGTTTGGTCACCTGAGCCCACCAGAAGTGATTTCTGAGCAGAGTCAGGAGTAACCCTTGAATATAATTCGGGGTGCCTTCCCCCCCAAAAAAACTTCAGCTTTCCAGGATGTTTGGGGTGGTTCACACAAGATTACTCTAAAGAGATGCATCAGAGGCAGCAAAAGTGGGCGTGTATCAAACTGCACCCATCCGAGGTGGCCAGAGAGACCCTGTGGATGTTAGGCCACCAGGTGGCACAGTCGGGGTGTGTGTGTGTGTGTGTGTGTGTGCAGAGTTCTTCACTGCCATGAAATGTTCAAATGCTCTCAGCGCATAAACCCAGGCACGCAGCCACTCGGGGGCGTGGGGGAGGCTCACCCACTCCCACACTGGGCCTGTGCCAGCTCATGAGGACGGCGCAGGCGCCCCCTAGCTGCTTACGGAGGCAGTCCTGGGGGCAGATGTTGAGGTCTCTGTTCTCCACGGCATCGCAGCGGCCATCGGGACACGTCTTGATGCTGGGGGAGCAGGTAGAGAAGTTCCGGGTGATCCCTACGACACAGAGGGCGGTCACTTCCAGGTGGAGATGACTGGAGCCAGGAGTGGGGGCACCCCGGGGCTCCTGAGGCCACAGTGCCCCTTCCAGGACTCATGCAGTGTCCGGAAAGATAGTACAGTGGGTAGGGCATGCAACCAGCCCTGGTTCCACCCCCAGCAACATATATGGGCCCCTGAGCAGTGCCAGGGGTCATCCCTGAGCACAGAGCCAGGAATAGATCCTGAGCACAGGTGGGTACGACCCAAACCTCCCATTCTGCTCCCCCCAAAAAAAACAATTTGTTAAAAACCCCAAAGAGATTCAAGCAACGACAAAGAGCCTCCAGCCGAGCAAGCAGGGCTATTCTGGGGAGCATGCGGGTCCAGGGAAGTCCCGAGGGGAGGAAGGGGACTGGGTCATCCCAGAACCATCAACGAAGGGGCTAGAGGGGCCAGGACCCTTTGCCTGCCGCCCTAGGGAGTGTTTTTCTTGGGGCTATGTGAGGGGCTGGTGCTGGCCATGTGGGCTCAGGACACTGACCAAGGACTCCCCGGAACGGCCTGTCTCCAGCACATCCTAGCTTTGATGGACCCTCCCCAGCCTGGTCCTGCCGTAGGAGGTCAGTGGCCTCTGTACCTGCAGCTGCACTCCTGTGCCCCGTTTCCAGGCTTCACACTGGAGGACAGGGTCACCCCCACAGCGGCCTGTCCAGGGGCCTACCTCTGCCGTCTCCCTGCCTCCACTCGCACCGGCCACTCGGAGCACCCAGCCCGCCGCACTCCTCACACTCCAGCCGCCGCTTGCTCACTGCACACGACCTGGGGCAGTCCAGCTCCTCAGGCACATCTGGAGGCGGCAGGAGAGAGGTCAGGGGGCGGGCATCCTCGGTACTGGTAAGGGAATGGGCCCCCTGGGAATGGGGAGGGGGCAAGAGAGTCATAACACGGGGGCAGCTACTGGACTGGGACAAGTGTGAAGAGAGATGTCATGGCCAGGCTGGGTCAAGGACACACAGTGACACCCGAATGTCAAACAAGGGGCACATGGGTGTGCTCCTTCCGGAAGCTGCTCACATTCTGAAGAACCTCTCAGCGATTCTGCACGGGGGCACAGTCGTGCCCCTAGAATTCTTCCCCATGGACTGAATCACAAGGTCACCGTGTCCTGTATTCCTGTGGGCAGTGCTAAGGCAGGGCCCACGGTAGGGGGCTCGGGGAGCTGGACAGCTACTGGTCCAGTCAGCCTGCATTGTCCACCCAGCCTGGCTGAGCCCCATGTAAATCACTCTCATCACGGAGAAGGAGTCTGGGGTCCTGGGGTGGGGTATGGGTGAGAGGGAACAGGACCAGGCCTTTCCAGGGCTTTGCTCTGCCACCACCCCATCCGGGGAGCCGTCACTCACACGTCCCCTCCACGGTGGCCGTGAGCGTGGCCTGGGTCTGCCTGCGGGTGGCGCGGTCGGCGGCCACCACCGTGTACTGTAGCTGGGCACACTCGGGTCGCCGCAGAGCCTCAGTGTCGTTCACGAACAGGAGCCCTGAGGAGTCCTCGGCGGAGGTGAGCACGCCCAGGGCACTGCAGTTGGCGCTGGCCGCCTGGAGCTTGTACAGCACGTGGATGCCGCTGAACTCCCCGCAGTTTTCCACACATACTTTTCCAACCTGGGTGTGGGCACAGGGTGGGGGCTTGGCTGGAGGGTTGCCCACTGGGCACCACAGGTCCCACGCCACCACCCACCGGGCTCTGGGCTTTCACTCCCCGCGGTCCCTGCACGGGACCCTTCACTGTCTGTGCTGTGGGAATCACATGTCTGTACCTTCCCTGTCCAGCCCATCAACCTCCCACCCTAGCACGCGCTGCTCCTGGAGAGCACAAGAACCCCGTGTCTGGGCTGGGGGACTCCTCTGGAAAGAGGCGGACTCGCCCAGTTCATCCCCACTCACTGGACCATTCTGCACAAATTCTGACCCTCACTCTTGACCCCTGGATGCTTTCGGCCAGGCCAGTTGCCATCCTTAGTACAAGGGTTGGGGAGGTCACCCGGGTCCAGCGCATCACCAGCCATACCATGTCTGCAGCAGGGTCCTTGGTCCTATAGGGCTTTGGGGGCATTCCTGGGACACTGACCGGAACCCCTTGGAAACAGGGTGCTAGATATCTGCAGGCACGGAGAACTGGCCTTGGGAAGCTGGACTGACTCTCTTTTATCCCTTGGCTACTCAAGCTAAGAATGAGGGTTGCTGGGCCAGAGGAACAGTCAGGGGGATAAAACATTTGCCGTGTATGTAACAGACCCCAGTATGACCCCTGGACCCCATACGGCTTCCCACCCCAGCACTGCCAGAGTGATCCTTGAGCACAGAGCCAGGAGTAAGTCCTCCTAAGCAGTGCCCGGTGTGGCCCCCAAAGCCAAAAATGACAAAACCACAAAAACACAGTATGAGTTTTACAGCTCCTGCTGGAGCACTAGCTAGTCAAGATGGGTTCAAAGGTGTGGGGAAGCATGGGGTGGGGCCCTATCCACCTCCACACAGGTCCTTGGAGGCTCTGCTGGGGACAGGGAAGGACCAGGCTAAGCCCTCGTCTCACCCTGCAACCAAACCAGCCTTCTAGGTCTCTGGTTGCATCCTGTACAAGGCGATTCCCATCCTCTCCGGGGGGAGCTTCCATGGGGCCATGGTCACTCTCCTCTGATGACAAGAATGGAAACTGGGCAGAATAAGTCAAAGCTGGGCTGTGGGACTCTGGGCACCGGAGGTCTCGTGAGTCCTCTAGAAAACAGGTGACCTGACTTCAGCCACCCAGCTTAGCTTAACTCCCCTGGGAAGTCCCTCAGGGCCCCCAGTCTACTTTTTTCTTTTTAGGTCACACCCGGCAATGTTCAGGGGTTACTCCAGGCTCCTGCACTCAGGAATTACTCCTGTCGGTGCTTGGGGGACCATATGGGATGCTGGGAATCAAACCCAGGTGGGCCACGTGCAAGGCAAACGCTCTACCCGCGGTTCTATCGCTCCAGCCCCAGGGCCCCCAGTCTTGTTCTCCAAACTGTCCCTGACTTCCACATCCATGAAAGGCTGGGAGTTAGGGGTGCTGCTAGGTCAGGCAGCTTGGATATGTTCAAAGGAGAGTCCCATATCCATTGGAGTAGGAGGAAGTAACGTGGCAAAGCTGGGGTACAGTGGGCAGGGCCCTTGCCTTGAGTGCAGCTGACCCAGGTTCGATGCTATATTGTCCCCTCAATCCTCCAGGAGACTGATTCCTGAGTGTAGAGTCATGAGTAACCCCTGGGCACAGCCGGTGTGGCCTCCACAATGAGAAAAACAAATAAAAAAGGACAATGCCAATGCCACAGGAATCAGAGAAGATAGCTCTCTGTAAATTCTGGAGAACATGTATTTGCAGCTGCTCCACTTGGGAAAAATCACGTGCTCAATAAAAGCACCATGACCGCAAGTAAACTTTCCCGAGTGCTCCCAAGTGCCCCAGAGCAACATTCTGATGGCTGGGGAGATAGCCTTCAAAGGGCCGGAGCACAGGCTTCACTCGCTGGAGTCCGGTATTCCAGCTCTGCCCCTGCCCAGTCCCTGAGCACTGTCAGCAGCGACCCCCAAGAGCTAGGAGTAGCCCCTGAACACCAGCAGGGTGTGGTAAAAAAACAAAAAAGAGAAACTTTCTAAACAGTGGGCTTCAAGAACTGTCCGCAGACCACAGCTGTCCTGTGATTCAGTGCTGCCCCGTGGTTGTGCAAGGTTAAAGATCGTTGTTCTGGAGAAAGCACAACAACTGCTAAACACTGGCAAGAGGTAAGGGGTCACACCCCTTTCTCCACATCTTTGATACCGCATACTATTTTCATTTTTCTCACTTCCTGTCTTATTTTCCAAAGACAAACACAAGAAACATTCTCGAGGGACTTGCAGAAGTGCTTCCTAGTTTCCTGCAGAGGGCGCAGTTAATACAACTCTCAAATTCCCATCCGCAGACTTCGTTTCAGAGCAAAAGGAGTCAACTCGAAACCAGAATTTCTGCAAACATTTCTTTTGTTTTATTTTGCCTTGTTTGGGGCCATACCCGGTGTTACTCATGGATCACTCCTGAGTGACTTTATATGGTGCCGGGGATGAAGCCAGGGTTGGTCATTTGTAAGGAAACTGCTATTAACTCCTGTACTAATCTCCAGTCCCTGCAAACCATTTTTTTGACCGAATAATCCTCCAGAAATTCCTTTCCAAGTCGTTGTATGTAGATTTACCGGAAGCTGCTCTTTAAAACGTGTACAGAACATGCTTTTAAAGATACCAAGATGGTAGGCTCAAAACACAGCCCACTGAACTCTCCTGGGGCTCCCCTGGGGCCCACAGACTTACCTGCAATCCCCGAGGGGCTGGCAGGGAGCTCACCTGGGCAAAGCGGCTGGCCCTCCTGCTGACAGTGAAGGCGTAGGGGCTGGGAAGGCGCAGGCTGATGGGCAGCACGGACACGTTGAAGTGGAGCAGGAGGATGCCCTCCCCTGGGCCCTGGAAGTCCGAGTCATTGACCAGCACAGTGAGCTGTAGGGTGTGGCTCTCCGAGATGGGGACACTGCGGTTGAGAACCAGCCCTGTGGGAGGGACGCCCCTGTGACTGCAGGTCCAGGAACCCCAAGTGGCCATCTACCCAGTACCTTGCCAGCAGATGCAGACCCTGAACACACACACACACACACACACACACACACACACACACACACACACACGCACACACGCATGCACATGCACACACAAGTACGCACACACACAAGTACCACGCATGCACACACACAAGTACACACACGCACACACACCCTACACGTGTGCATGCAGACCAGCACGTCCCACACAGGACAGCTCACACCCCAGAGCCCACGCAGAGCTAGACCTGCTTTGGCCTAAATGGAGCCGGAAGTCTGGAGGACTCTCAGCTGCAGGCAACCTGGGTGTGTGAGGGGCGAGGGGGGAAGCAGTGCATGTTGGGAGAGCATGAGGGGTGGGGTTTGTGAGGTGGAGCATGTGGGGGCTGGGGCATGGGGGTGAGCATGCCTATGGGGGGTCTGAAGGACTTATGCTGCCGTGTGGGGTGGGCACATGTATGTACGTGCGCTGAGCGTGTGGGTGTCTGTGGGTGCCCGTGTGAGGGGAGACTATACCATACCAAGGCTACTCCATATGGTTCCCTTAGGGAACGCTCCACAGCAGCAAGTCCCAGAGGACCTGACTCCCCCAAACCCCACCCCCCGGGACCTGACACACCTGCCTGCACCTGCTATAAGCTGCGGTAAGGATTCTGGTTTTGGGGACAGAGGCTGCCAAAGTCAAGGTCACCCACACATACAGTGACAGGCGAGGGTGCCGCCCTCCCACAGGGAGGGATCTTCCAAAGTTTTGGGGTCAGGACCAGTGAGACAGGGTCAGGCTAGCAGAAAGCGGTTCTAAGGACAGCAGGGATTCCGGGATCTTCCACCGGTAAGGACCAAAACAAGGGTTGAGCGTGAGTGGGGTATTTGGAAGGCGAGTCGGAGAACAGACCAGGGGAGCCAGCAGGAGGCTGGGAGGTAGAGGCTTTCTCCCTTCCCGCAGGGGGCCCGCGGGTGCCTGGCAGAGTGTAAGCAAGAGCAGAGCAGAAGGAGCACCTCTGCTGCCCACGCCCATCCCTGGCCGCAGAGCAGAGTGGCCACTGCACACAGACTCTGACAGGCAGAGGGGACCGGGGAACGGGCTGGGTCTGGGCACCTGGAGGGTGGGACAGCAGGTGCCTGTCAAGAATCCTGAAGTGGGGAGTGTGGGGTTATGTGAGAGCTGAGGAAAGCCACCAAGGACCCCCAGAGGGCCATGAGGGTCCCCAGAGGCAAGGAAGGGCTGGCAGGGGACACAGGCCTGGGGCTCAGCAGACCAGGCCAGGCATCCCTATAAGCATGGTCCTACCCAGCCCGAGTGGGCTGAGGTTCTCTTGGACACAGAGAGGCCACACCTGGTCCCTCCAAATGCATTTTTTGGGGGGACCACATTTGGTAGTGCTCAGGGCTTATTCCTGGCTCTGAGGTTACAGATTACTTCTGGCAGGGACAGGATGCTAGGGATTAGAAGCGGGTTGGCTGTGTGCAAGGCAAGTGCCCTGCCCGCTGTACTGTGTCTCGGCCCCGCTTACTCTATTTTCACAGGGAGCCAGGGGCCTGCTCCTAGGGATTTCCAGCCAAGTGGCCCAGACTGGCTGCACTCAGGCCTGAAGATGAGAGCCTGCAGGCCCGCTGTGGTGATGCTCAGGGCTCCCCCGGTGGCGCTGGGGCCCCTCTTACTGTAATCGTGCAGGGTCTCCCGCACCGAGCTGCCGTTGACCTGCACTGAGGTCTCGTTGGGCAGGTGCTCCACGCGGAAGGTCTGTAGGACCCAGGGGTCGCTGGACAGCAGCGTGGCCGTGTAGCGCCTCAGCAGCTCCCCAGATGCCGGCACCACATCAGCATCGGAAACGCGGAGTGTAGTCAGCACGGTGCCCTGCAGAGAGCACGGGTCCTGGTCAGGGCCAGTGAGCGGGACACCCCTGTGCTTCCGGCAGCTGAGACCAGAGGCACACACCCCGCCAGGGGGAAGGGCCAGGGGTGCCTCATCACTGGTTCTTGACACAGCCTGACTTCAGGAGACTGCGCAGATCAACCGCCCCTTGCCAGTCTGGTCCGGTCCCCTCCCTGGGCCACTGCACTCACTTCTGCAAGGTGCGTGATATGCCTGCACACCTGCAAGGATGGATGAGGGCAGACATCCTGGGTGCTGCTGGGCATCCTCCTCAGGGGTCCAAAGAGCAGTGAGAATACCCCCCTACCCACAAATCGAGGAACATGGGCCCCACCGTGTGGAGAGGGCTCTGTGTCACAGTGACAGATGGCAGAGCCTAGGTCCATGCCCAGGGCAACCCTAGAATGTTATTCTTTGTATTTTTTTTCTCTTTGGGTCACACCCAGCAATGCACAGGGGTTACTCCTGGCTCTGCACTCAGGGATTACTCCTGGCAGTGCTCAGGGGACCATATGGGATGCTGGGAATCAAACCAGGGTCAGCTGGTGCAAAGCAAACACCCTACTCGCTGTGCTATCACTCCAGCCCCTAGAATGTTATTCTTCAAGCATCTTCCATACTCCCAGCTGCAAGAGGTCGTGATGAGTCCTTGGTGTAGAAACCTATGCTTTCCTGGTTACCTAGACTCCCTGTGGTCACCTGCAAGCGACCAACCAGTCTCCCGGAACTGTTTCCCGACCCCCGCTCTGCACCGCGCGATAGCACAGTGGTAGGGTGTTCCGGCCCAGGTGTTCTGGCCCTCCTGAGCCGGGTTCTCTCCGAGAGCCCGGCAAGCTATCCGAGTCGTATTCAGTATGCCAAACACAGTAACAAGTCTCACGATGGAGACGTTACTGGGCCTGCTTCAGCAAATCGATGAACAACAGGAGGACAGTGCTACAGTGCTCTGCACCGCCCCCCCCCTTTTCCCTTCGCCCCCGCCCCCTCCCCCCCCCCCCCCCCCGCACCCGGGCTTTGCTGCGGGTCCCCTGCAGGATCCTGAGAAGCCCAGTAGGTGGCAGTCACGCTCCACCCGCGGGGACCAGCGAGGGGCGGGTCCGCCCGCTGGACTTGGGCTCCTCGCAGACGAGCGTCCCAGAGCGGCGGCGGCTCTCCCGGCAGCGGCACCCGGCCTCTCCCCTGCCTCCCTCCGGGCAGCACCTGCACCTCACCTCCTTCCGCTTGAACTCCACCACGGCACTGGCGGTGTCCACGCCCCCGAGGAAGGCCGGCGCCGAGTCGTCCTCGTCGTACACGACCACGGGGCAGGGCACCATTAACTTCTTCTCCAGCGAGCCCAGGCGCACGGTGCACTCGGCCACCAGCTGGTACTTCTCCTGCTGCTCGCGGTCCAGCGCCCAGCGCGTGCTCACCTCCAGACTGTCGGGCGCGCAGCGGAAGGGTCTGCTGTCTGCGCACCAAGCACACGGAGATGCCCGCGTGACCCGGGGGCAGGCGGTGGGAACCGGGAGAGGGGGCTTGGCTGGGGTCCTGTGCTGGGGAGGGGGTGCTTGGCTTCCCAAGGCGCACAGAGTTGATGTATGCTAATGTTTCCGTGGCCTGCTCAGACCCTCTGCCACCACGTGGGAAAGCTGTGTGCACCCCTTTACACCCCCTGCCAGCGCTCTGCAGTGGACTAATGAGGAGAGGGGAGGAGGATATGGCGGCAGCAGCTCTGCCAGGCTACAGACCCAGGGATCTAGCTCCCTGCGTTTACTTGTTTTTGGGAAAAACATGTTTCTACTTGTTTCTTTAAAGAAGTGGTAGGTGCTCATTTTAGGAAATGTGAGAAATAAGGTCACAGCCCCATCATTTGTAAACAAGTGCGGTGGACATCCTGTGTGCAATGTGATGTGAACATGCAAGTACTGAGAAATACTGTCTGGTCCAATCTCTGCTCTAGGCCTCCTGGCTGTGTGGCCCCAGGCTGGGTGATCTATTTCCCTGTACCTCAGTTTCCTCACCAGAGGGTGAAGGCTAAAGGGCTGATCCTTATCTTTCATCAAGTCTGTCCTGGAATTTGTCTATCAGAAATAAAGCAGAAAGGCGGAAGCGCTGAAGGCCTGAAGGTCAAAACTAGTCACACCCCACAGCCAAGCACAGAGTGGGTACTGGGGAGTGGGTGTGGGGTGTGTGCATGTGTGTCCAGGGCCCGTGCGAGCTCCAGTGGGGCAGTCCCCCAGCTCCAGAATCCATCACCCACTATATGTGAATTAGGTGTGAAAAATACCCCTGCATTTCCCTTTGTTTATGGTTATAAAATACCATGCTCAACAAAATTCAATTCTTGAGAGACCGAGAAGAGGGCAGCAGTATCAACCTTATGCTTTGCTGCCAATCTCGTACAAACACATCCATCTGGCCCCAGGGCAGATGGAAGAACAGGGGGGCGTGATGACTTCTCTCCCTCTACCAACATCTCCTTCACCTTCATTATCGTGTGTATGATGTAGCACTCACAACAAACCCCTATGAATCCTGGTTCCACTTCCCGTGTCCCTTATGAGACTGAGTCACTCCATGTTCAGTGGCTTCGTGGCACCTCTGTGACTGCTCAGCTGCCTGCTCTCATCCCAAGAGTCAGCCCCTTCCCCATTCCACCCAGGCAGGGGACTGTCCTGTGGCAGGCAGGGTCATCTGGTGGCACCATCAGCTGTCCTTGCAGCTGCTCAGGCAGAATCTGGAACCACCCTCAGTTCTCTCTGAGCCTTCATATTCCACACCAAGTCCTCAGGAACCCCCGCACAATCTTCCTTTGATACCTGCCCAGCGGTGCTTGTTTATCTTTTCAGGCTGGTTAAGCGACTTCTGCCCCCATCCTGGCCTTTATTCCCCCCCTGCAGGCTCCTGTCTCCCTGCCCAGGCAGGGTTTGGGCCTGCTTTGCTCAGGCTCGCATCCTTAGTCCTTGGACCAGAGCCTGGCTGAGTATTTCTGGAATATTCAACCAACAGCTGGTGGGGGTGTGGAAGAGTATAAATGAGTCGGTGCCTGGCACCCAGCAGGAACTGAGAATGGTCCTCACCTTCCAGGAGCTGGTAAGTCACACTGATGTTCGGGCACAGGGAGTGCACGGGCAGCTGGCGAAACTGATAGAAGGTTCCCGGGGGCCTGTTCTCCCGGATGCGGAAGGAGAGATCTGACGGGGGGAAGCAGAGATCCTTGACTTCAAAGCCATCGCACGTGGGGAAGGAGGTGTTCATGAAGCAGAAGTACACTCGGGCGCACCCCGGCCACTGGCATTCGCTTTCCCGCTGGGATGTGGGTGACAGGTAGACGTGAAGGTAGACAGTGAGTTGGGGGAAGCCTCCATCTGCAGAGAGAAGACACAGTCTATGCCGGGTGGGACCCTGCTGCGCCAGAGAGGCAGAAGGGTACGGAACTCGAGGACGCCTCTGGGGTTTGCAAAGTCCATGCCTCATGGGGCTCTCTGTCCGGGGTGCCACTTTTCCCTGATTGTCCTGTGTCCTTCAGAGTCTCCTGCCTTGCTCCCCATCACTCAGGCCTCAGTTCAGGGGGTGCCCTGAGGAGCACACCCCACCGACAGACTGCCTAGAGGAGCAGATTTCTAGCAAATTCCATTATGGAAATACAACAGAGCCCCCCCCCCCCCGCCTCCCCCCATGAGATCTGGGCTTCCTTTGGGGTGGGGCTCCCGCCCCTCCCGCATCCTCGAGTGCTATACAGTCACTAATTCTCCAACTTCCTGTCAGGGCCTGTGGTTTCCCTTAGGTCAGCACAGTAGACCCTGGCCAGGTCCACTTTGGTCTACACCCTAGGGAGCGGCTTCTTCAGAATCCCCACTAGAGGCACAAGATGGACAGGCAAGGGGGATGCGGGGGGGGGGGGGCAGGACCCAAGGCAGACACCCATGGGGGAGGGGCTTCCTGGCCTGGTGACCTGGGTCACTTGGACGGCAAGTGTGATCACCAGGACCTCGGGGTCAGAGCAACCTGCTCCCCTCTGCCTGCTACCACTTTCTCCCTGCACTGGGGGTCTGGTATGAATGGGGGTCTTGTGAGCTCCCCATAGCTCTGGAGGTGCTGGGGGGCTTCTAAGGGTGTGGTTGCTGCTTCAAGGCACAGGCAGACTCTGGGGCCCTTCCCCCCAATCTCCCTCTCTCCTCCCCGAGTAGCTGCTGAGGACTTCCTTTAACCCCCGCCCCCTCTCGCTCTTCCCTGGCCCCTCCAGGCACTAGGGGCAGTTTCCTTCCCTGGCAAATGCCAAACCATTTGCTAAACCCAAATCCTGGGGGTTCGCCAGCTCCTCTTCAAACCCCTCTTTCATAGTCCTAAATCCTGGTTACCCTAACTGAAAAAGACATCTGGGCCTGGAGGGAGACCCCACCCCCCGGTCCTTCACCGGGCTCTCCCACATCCCTGGAGCCTCAGGAGCCCTTGGGGGATCGCTGGCAGTCCCAGACTCGCCCTCACTGGCTGACACAGAGGCAGCAGCCGGCACCACGGGGCTCCCGGTCAGACCCAGCCGCGGGCGGGGCTGCTGTGACAGGGGCTAGGGACGCGAAGACGGGTGGGCGCTCCTCACTGCGGATGCTGAGCTTCTCCCAGGTGCTGTGGTCCAGGCTCTGGTTCAGGTAGATGAGGCCCGTGTCCTCCTGGATGCGGATCCAGAGGTTCTCGTGCAGCCGCGTGCGGTAGGCACCGTAGAGGTGCTGGCCCAGCCGGAAGCTGGGCACCTCCTCGGGGAGGTCACGCAGGGCATGCACGTAGAGCAGGGGCATGCCCGCCTTCTGGTCCACGTACAGCTTCTCCCAGTAAGTGTCCCTGGAGAAGTAGAGTCCCAGAGCGGCTGTGGGAGGTGGGGAGGGAAGCGAGTGAGGAAGGGCTTCGCCACGGAGGTGGAGGCTGTTTCTACAAGCCCAGAGTCCCTCCTTTAAGATGAAACTTAGTAATGTGCCTGCAGGGGGTGGGGTGGGGAGGGAAGATGGAAACACTGGTGGAGGGAACTTGACACTGAGAGAGGGGCTGGTGCTGAAATATTATTATTGTTGTATTTTTTTTTTTTCGCTTTTTGGGTCACACCTTGGCGATACACAGGGGTTACTCCTGGCTCTGCACCCAGGAATTACTCCTGGCAGTGCTCAGGGGACCACATGGGATGCTGGGAATCAAACCCGGGTCTGCCATGTACAAAGCAAATGCCCTGCCCGCTGTGCTTTCGTTTCAGCCCCTGGTGTTGAAATATTATATGCCTAAAACGCAATTATCAATAACCTTGTAAATCACAGTTCTTTAATTAAAAAAAAAATAGAAAAAAATGAGGAGGAAGAAGAGGCAAAATTCTCGATCACCTGTGTCTGAGCCATGAAACTAGAGCTGGGGGAGGGGGGCTCACATCTGCTTCGGGACAAACCCTTGAGTATTCAAGCTTTGGGACAGAAACTCCCAACAGAGGGTGCAGGCCACAGCCAAGAAAGTAACAAACCTTTATGGAAGCCGAACATGGGACTGGTGAGCCACGTGCTTCTCCCGTTTGTCCAAAATAAGTGAGAGCAAATCCCCAGGTGACTGACCCCAGCCACCTCCTCTGCCGAGAAGTGGATGGCCACGCCCTCAGCAGGAGGACGGGGCAGCAGGGCTCACTGGTCACCGCACCAGGGAGTCAGAGAGACGAGCTTAGATCCACACAACGTGGCACAGCTCCTGTGGACCACGTGACAGAGGGACCAGCAGAAAAGGACACGTGTCTCCTCTCCGGGCTTCTTTTCTTTGCTGGAGAAGGAGAGTTGCTTCTCCCATGAGGTGTTGATGAGGCTCTGGGGACCCTCCCAGCAATTCTGAGCCCTCAAGGTGAGCAGTTCAATGGAGGGTCTGAGGATTTGGTGCTGCTCAGGCATGGTGGGTGGGGATAATGCTGACAATGCTAATGTGGGGTCACGTTGTGAGGCATAGTTGGGGGCAGGAGCCCCTGAGACTTGATCTGAACATGACGAATGGTAGGCGGCCCCTCCCCAGAAGCTCCCCCTTTAGCTTCCCGGCAACGGTCCATCTCCCCTCCAGTAAATATGAGCTCAGTAAAACAATGCCAAGGGAGGTTGCACAAACGGGACCCCAGCCAAAAGGAACCAACATCCTGTCTTACCCTTTTCTTTGTGCAAGTACATTCTGGAAATCCCCCTAAGATGTTTGTTTCTTGCCCTTTTAGTATATAAGGTTGACCCTGCTTGAATGAATGAGCTGTCTCTCTGAAGCACTACCGGAGTGCATGTCTTTCTTGCGCCTCCGTGTACTGACCCTTCCTCAAAAGGGCTGCTTGCCTCCTCAGCGACTGTGCACAACAAGCAGAGCAAAGACAGCTGCCACGGCTGGCCTCTCAGTCAGCCGGTGTCTCCTGCATGTCAAGACTGACACTTAGAGCCACAGCTGGCCATGCGAAGGGGTCCATATTGGTGCCGGGGACTAAGCCAGGGCTGGCTACCTGCAAGGCAAATGCCTTAACCCCTGCATGATTTCTCTCAGGCCCCACGATTCTGGGTGTTGGATGAAGAACCCCAGACTGGCTATGCGTTGAGGGGAGGGAGTGAGAGTCTTGTCATCCGACAGGTACGGGTATCCTGGGCACATCCACCGGCTCATGGTGTCTAGCACCAAGATTTTATGATTATAAACTATGTAATGGGATGGAGCGACAGCACAGTGGGTAGGGCGTTTGCCTTGCATGCAGCCTACCCGGGTTCGATTTCTCCATCCCTCTTGGAGAGTCTGGCAAGCTACCGAGAGTATCCCGCCCGCACGGCAGAGCCTGGCAAGCTCCCTGTGGTGTAGTCGATACGCCAAAAACAGTAACAACAAGTCTCACAATGGAGACGTTACTGGTGCCCGCTTGAGCAAATCGATGAACAACGGGAGGACAGTGCTACAGTGCTAAACTGTGCAATATTTGTCACAGGGGCCCAAGGGCCATCATGCCCTGCAGAGCTTTCCCAGTGCCCTCCCTTGGGCCCCAGACCCCGGGCTCTGGAGAGGGGGTGACCCAGAGGCAGGAACAGCCCTGCTGCTCTGTCCCAGGGTGTGGATCATGGGCCACAGGCAAATTTCCTCTTCCACAGCATTCTCTGGGGGCTCAGAGTCAGAAGGGCCAGTGGGAGCCAGGCGGGGCAGGGTCAGAAAGATGCCCCTAGACAGGAGAGGGCTTCTCTGCAGAAGAGCCGGTGCTGCTGCAGCCCCCACCCCTCTCAATAGAGGGTGCAGGGTGAGCTGAGACAGACTGGGGGTTGTGGGAGACTTCCCTCTCCATCACAGCACCAGAACAACCCATGCCACGCCCCCCATTCACACGTGAGCCCTCCACCCTCTCCCTCACCCCATGAGTCACCAGAAGGTCCGTCCAACTTTCGAACACTGGCCCTGAGGCAGGAAGCGAGAGCCGTTAGCACGAGGGCACAGAGTCAGCCAGAGAAAGGGAATTTATCCAAAAAAGAAGTCTTCCCAGAGGCACCCCTCAGCCGAGTCCCACTGCCACCAGGCCTAGACCTCACCCCCCGGCAGGGTTCGGGTCCCCACGTGCCAGGCAAGAAGCTGCACCCAGCCTGCAGTGGGGAGGCCAGCATCATCGGAGTACGGTCACCGCCCAGGCCTGCCGTCACAGGGAAAGGATGTGGGTTCAGTGGCCCCCAAAGTAGGTGGCCCAGGACAGCAGGGCTTATGGTATTGCATCGGGGAGTGAGGGCTAAGCAAGGGTGCCCCCAATCTCCTCCTCACCCAATAGGAGGGATCTGAGATGCTGTCCAGGGTGCAAGCATCATGCAGAGCCTCCCCGAGTACCCAGGTCCCAACTCCCCCGCAAGTGCCCCAGTCCTACATGGAGAGGTGGGGGGTCTGCATTACGCCCCCCACTGCAGCCCTCCAAGTATCAGCCAAGGGCCATGGGACATGAAGCAGCCCAGCTTCTGCCACCTGCTCTCTGGGGACCCATCCCAGGACCTGGCTGGCAACAGCAGGCCAGACTGGATGCCTCTGCATGGAACGGTCTGGGAAGGGGGTTGGGGCTGGAAAGGAGGCGGGGGGGGGGGGGCAGGAACTGGCCAGAGAGGCATTTTCCTTGGAGTGTGTCCATCTCCACAGGCTCTGTCCAGGCACCTGGGACTTCCCTGCGCAGTCCCAGGCACCCTGCCACAGGGTGGGGAGGAGGGTCCTGCCTGCTCAGCCGTCCAGCCCCGGGATCACAGAGGCCTCGTCTGTGGCTGCCAAAAGAGATTTGTAGCCCCGGCACTGACGGTGAGCAGAAACGGTCTCAAATGCACTTAAAATGCCTCCCAGGTGGTCCCACAGCTCAGCCGCGCTGCCTTAATGCACCTCCTCGTCACAGACACCTCCCAGGGGAGAAACATAGGGTGCAAAGGGGGGACAGGGGAGCTGGCTGTGGGGGCAGGGCCGACCTAGACAGTCATAGAAGGCCCCACACTTGGTTTAATGTGATGCAACTGATGCTTCATCCCAGGTCAAAGGAGCTACACTGGGGTGGGCAGGAGCCTGCGTGGCCCCTGGGGTCCAGACTCGGGCAAGGCTGTGCAGTCTCCACTGACCACTGGCCGCACCTGGGTCCCATTTCTCCCGAGCTGAAAGAAGGGGGTCTGTGGGGTGCTGCTGGGGACAGCACCAGGGCAGGCAGGCATCTCACTGGCCATTTGCAGGTCCCCGCTGGGGCCAGGGGATGAAGCGCCTCACCACGGTCGAATGCAGGCAGCTCCGCATCTCACATGTCAGCAAAGGCTAGCAATGGGCAGGCAGGAAAGGGAGGCCAGGGCATGGGCCAACAGCCCCCACAGAGCCTCCTGCCTGCCAGGACGGGCTACTCTACCAGTGGGCTCAGACTGTCCCTCACTCTAGGGGCAGATCAGTCCAGGCCTGGTAATGCCCCCAGCATCCACCTGTGACTGACACAGCGTGAGAGTAGAGAATAGGCCCCCCCCCCACCCCGCCACTGCCCCCTCTCCACCCTACCACCCCCCATCTCGCCTCTATAACGCTGGGGCAGACTTGGCCAATGACACCCCCAGCGTCGCAGCTCCTTAGGGATTCCCTTGCTGCACTCAGAGGAGCAGGACTTGGCCAGCCAAGGCAGAGCAGGTCCTGTGTGGCTTATGGTCCATTTGCAAAGGTCCACGTTATGATTCCCATTCGGGTGGACACAGACGCATCCCAGCCTGTGAGTGCATGCACATGTGTCTGTGCACGCACATGACTGTGTGTACACGTGCATGAGTGCATACGTGTACACGGGCATGTGTGTATGTGCGTGCATGTGTGCGTGTGCAGGAGTCAGAGAGTTGCACCAATCAAGACGTCACTGTCCCATCGCCCAGGCAGGAACAAAATGAGCCAAGCAGGCAGGTGAGGGACAGTGCCCTCCTCTGTCCCTCACTGGCTGGTGACCCCACCAGTGCCTGCCAGCTTGTCCGCTACAGTCTCAGCTTTTAGCAGGTGGCCTGCTCCCTCCCCTCTCCCCCACACCCTGAAGTGGCAAGGCAATTCCCACTGCCCCACCCCTGGGGATTAATGCACATCTGGGTGTGGTGCAGCTGGGCCCACACAGTGCTCCTGCCCCTTGTAATGAGCCTTTCTCAGGACTCTGGGCGCATGTGCTGTTACTCGAGTACCAGCTTGACGAACTCGAGTTACTCATGCCCACAGCTGGATCGAGCACCCACTAAAAGGTGAGTGGTCATTGGAGGCACTGCCCAGGGATTTGCTGCTGCCACTCATTACCTTCTGCTCATCCTGACAGGGGTGGTGGCACCAGGCTCTGTCCCACCCACACCCCAAAGTATACCAATCCCTCACGCCTCA